TATTTATTTATTTATTATTATTATTATTATTATTATCATTATCATTATTATTATTATATATGCTATATTATATATAATATATAATATAAAATTGTATTATATGTATATAATATGCATTTAGACTCGACGGCCCGCAGGCCCTGGCCTTCTCAAGTGGCGAAGCGCTGACCTTCTCCCGAACAGAAGTGCGAGGCGTGCCTCAGAGCCCAGGGCCAGGACTGGAGCTCCCTACATGGGATTAGGGTTTAGGGTTTAGGGTTCAGGGTTTAGGGTTTAGGGTTCAGGGTTTAGGGTTTAGGGTTTAGGGACTTCAGATGGGAGTTTCCGAAAATAGGGGGTACCTTATTCTGGGGTCCTTATAATAAGGATCCTACTATTTGGGGTACTATATTAGGGTTTCCTATTTTCGGAACTCCCCACATGCAGCGTCCTTTGGCATCGCAGGCTCTCTGGGTGGGAGACCGGTTCCTTTGACTGGCTTGGCATCCTCGGCTACAGAACTATACATAACTATACTCTATTCTGCGATATTGTGCTATTTATATCATATTATATCATGTTATACGATATTCTCCTATATTATAGTATCTTGTAGCATAAGTACTGTATACAACTCAAGCAGACTATGGCACCCTCTGGTTCCCGAGCATCTTCGAACATCTTCCAAAGGGAGGAAGCAAAGGGGCACTCCCAACAATGCAGGCTACGGGAGGTTTAGGGTTTAGGGCTTAGGGCTTATATAGGGTTTAGGGGGTTTAGGGTTTAGAGGGTTTAGGGTTTAGGGTTTAGGGCTTAAGGTTAGCAATCACAAAAAAGGCCCTGCAATGTCTCTGCAACTTCTTGAGCAAGTCTCGCATTGGAGCGGAGACAGGTCATCTGGCTCCAGATCTCTGGTAAACCTCAGCTCGGCCCATCTCTTCGAATCATGAGGGGAGACTATACTATATAACATCTTATCATCTCTTATCATATTATATCATCTTATATTATACTATACGATACTATAGTTTAGTATATTATGATTATCTTAAAGCTTCAGGACCGAGGCCCCTGCTCAGAGCCCATCACGGTGTAGGTCTTGCCAGACCCTCCGGTGAACGGCCGATTTCAGAAACCCAGTTCCAGACGGGCTCACCGGCAAACACCGTTTGAAGACACAAACTTCTTGCTTGATTTGTTTCAGGGAAGGCCTGTGTGGCCATAGGCCAGCATGCAGGCATTGTAGCCTAGCAAGCAAGCACCGGGCATCGATGGAAGCCAAATCGTGGCACGGACACGAAGCATTGACCAATACGCTCGAGGACGCCTTCGACGGCTTTTCGCACAATCTCTGCTCCAACAGCCTTGCATGGGGCAAACTGCAACACGGCATGGCCGCAACCGCGGGTGTTGCTGTGCATCTGATAACTTTCTTGGGGCCTCGTAGACAGCCTCTTGCGAGCCATCCATCGGGAAGCTTTCCCTGGCATGGCAACAGCTCATCTCAGCTGGCTCGACGGCCATTTGCAAGCCCAGTTTCGAAGCGCTTTCGCATCGCTTCTCTGCAAACAAGCGCGCAGGGGCCTAGAAGTCGTACTGCTGCCTGGGCTGCAGTCGTGGTTCAGTCTGATTGCACGCTATGATGGGAGGCGGACCTGTTTGACCACCGCTGCTCCTCCAGGCAAAAGGGAACAAGGTACAAGCAGCACATGGGCTCCGGTTGCACAGTGACACTACAAAGGTTGACATGCCCTGGCGCTGCCACCTCTCCATCCGCGGCCGGCTGTCCAGGATCGAATCTACTATGAAGCATTTCTCCTGCGCGGGTGGCGACGGACTCCGCACACATTGTCATTGTTTGTGTCATGGCACACTTCTTCATTCCCTTGGGAACCGGTTTCTTCACTTTCAAATTTGGATGATTTGAAGTCAGCACAGCTGTTTGCACCGGTGGCCCGCGGAGTTCCTGGCCACGATCCAAGCCAGTTAGGACAATCTTGCTCTGCGAGGGATAGCTGCGAACGCCCTGGCGCTGTCCCGCCTGAAACAGCCGAAGCAGAGCGATGTCAGCAGCATTTCAGGCAAACTTGCGCGCCTCCCGTGCCAGGAGCGGCCTGATGCGCACAGCAACGCGGACGCCGGTGGGCACCGCCATGCGTCCCTCCGATGCGGCGGTCGTAGCAACTGCAAGTACTGTGTCACAACTGCACAGCCAATTTAGCCTCGCAAGAGCTGCCGCTGCAGGTGGTCACACAGGAAAGGGCCCCTGCACAAACCGCCCTTACGCAGCTGCATGCACAGCTTCCTCTGACCTGCCTGAGACGTTTGCAGATGGGACCTTTGGGCGGAGCAGACGGGTGGTCAAAGCGCACTGGTTCATACATGTTGCCTGACAGTCCCTCAGTCGTGCATTGGTGTTCCGATTCAAACTGAGCCAAACGCACTCCGCGGCGTTGGCGTCTCAGCCAGTCAGAGGTGGTGCAGTTATGCTGTGAAAATGCTTTCGGCCTGGGGTACCCCTACAGTAGTCTCTCGAGAAGAGGGATTTACAACTCGTTGCCTCAAAACCCTTAAGTTGCCGACTTTGCACCATCTGGCAGAAAGAGTGCCTGCAAGATATGCTTCGCCGGACCACTCAGCAATTTCTGAGTCTAGACCTTCAATGCTAGTGACTAGTGTGCGAAGGTGCCGGAAGGCAGGAGGAGCCGTGCGGATTGCGTGGGTTATGGTGCCTCTCCATGAGTCTCGGCTAACACTCCCTCTTGCTGCGCAGACCTGGCGAGGCTGCCGGCATTGCCTTCAGCTTTAGCTGGCCATCAGAGGCTCTCTACGCTCTACTTGCACCTACCGGATGTGAGCTGTCTGCAGCCGCGCACGAGCGCCAAATAGGTTCTGCAGTATGCAACCGAAACAGCTCGATCGATGTTTGTTGAGTCCGCCTCGTATGAAATACATGTGGGGTGGGTAGGTGCTGTCACAGACTTCAGTTGCCTGCACTGTAGCCTCTGTCGTAGAGCCATAATGCTTCGAACTGATGCTTCTGCTGCAACATGCCGGAATTTTCAATATACCGAAGTACGTGCAAAGACCCCATGAGTTGCCGATCTCCTTCACTAGCTAGAAGTCATAAATGCACTTGTCCTACCATTGGCCTCTCACTCACTTCCTGAATGCAAAATCGGACGAAGCTTCCCCGATACCTCAGAGTTACAGTAGCTTTCACAACCGGGATGGTCCGTACCCCAAACAAGCCAAGGCCTTTCACTTCAGTACCTCTTCTCGAGCCGGAAATCAGCGCGTGAACAGAGTCGAACCCTTGAAGACGTCTTGCGAACATGCACAAACCGGTTTCCAGACGGAGCTCAACAACTCCTCAGAGTGTGCCCTGGCAACCTGGGCAACTGAAGTAGTCCTAAAAAATCGGAAAAATAAGCGTATACACTTCAGTAATTGCTAGGCAGCACCTGGCAGCTGGCGTGAAACAGATGATGCAAAAGCCTGCACGTCTCTTGTTACCTGGCCGTTTTCCGCAAGATGCTCTGCGGATAAACCGATCACTCGGTGGTTGTCGCACACGACCAGAAATGCCTCCCAGCATTTAACAGTTCCACGATGTGCCCCTCGAAGCTCTGAGGCAGCGGAAAAGCCTCCAGAACTCCCAACTGTGGTAGAATTGCTCCGAATCTGCCAGAAGCACACCTCACTCCAGCGCAGGCAACATGGACAAATTCGCATCTGTTGCTTGCCCGAGCTTCGGACTGATCTGGGCTGGGCACTCCCCTTCTATCGCTTCTGCTGCCGCGGAAACCTTAGGGCTGACCGCTGCAAGTTCCGACATCGAATGGTCTGCGAAGATAGTCCCAGGTCCACCAAAGAAGGAAACCATGAAAACCCAATAGCCCTGAAACCCGAAGCCCTAGGAAGAACCGGTGGTTCAGGGCTTGGGGATTACCTACTGGTCCGCTGTGCTCAGAATTCTTGGGGCCTAGGGTTCAGGGTTTAACGGATTTAGGGCCTGTTGATCAGCAACTGGTCGTGCAACTACCCGAACTGGGCATGGAGGCATTTGCGGCGATCTCACAGTCGATGTCTAAGACGAAGAAATGTACAAGCAGCCAATGCAGAAAAACGTGTCCCTTGGAGCCCGTGGACAAAAAAACGACTCGGCCTATCTCTGGACCTCCACAGAAAGTTTACGCCGATCTTTCACAGCATCTGCTCCAGAAAAAGGGGGGACCGAGAGTCAGAGTCGAGGTGCGTCCGGATCTCAGCGATTCCAAAATTTTGACACCCAGCCGATGACCAGCTTGAGCATGGTGCTTAAGAACGTGAGGCCGATTAGCTTCCTCAGCCATGTCCTCGGGCAGGCTGCTTATTGCTCTGGGCGTGGTGGGCGAACATGCATTTTGGGCTGAAGCAACGAACAAGCAACACCGCCAAGTCCTCTAAGCCCTCCATCCAAAGCCTACGGTTCCCCTTCAGGCGTCCTGGTCAGCTCCTCGTGCCTCCGCGAGATGATGCGGAACAAGGCGTCATCCTCGGAGTTGTCCAGCCGTGCTCGCTGGGCATCCACCACCAATTTGACTCTCTCGTGGTAGCGTGCCAGCGACAGAAATTCCATGCACAAAACTGATGCGGCGAGTTGAGGATGGTTCGCGAAGAGATTCAGCAATAAAGCATTTTGCAATTCCCTCCCTTTGCTTCAGGGTTCGTGCCACAAATCACCAGCACTACGTCCGCAAATATACCCAACACCATTGACAAGCCATCAAGCAAGACGTGACAAATCAACAAGCTGTGCTATCGCTGCTTGCGCTCTTGGCACGCGTCAATAACAGCAGACACATCTGACGCAGAGCTGGCAGATTCAATCGCAGAGGCAACATGCTCCAGCTCACACTGCAGTAGCATTGTTGTAGCCAAGTGCGGTAGGGCGACTGCCAAGGAAAAGGGGAACCACCAGGCCAGACACAGGAAGAGAACGAGTAGTCTGTCCAAAAACTCGTGGAATTGCAACACCGTCGGTGACGATGCTGCAATCAATGCAATCGCCGTTAAGACCAACGCCGACCTGTACAGTTTCAACATACCGATGGGACACACAAGGTCCATCCAAAATCGAGGGATCCCAGGGTAGAGGTTCCCGGCAGATGCGAGGTGGACTATCCAGGACGCGATTGTACAGACTTGGCTGGCAGCCATGGCTGCCGTCCAAACCCAAACCCGGCTGTTGATGTTGAAGTCATCGTTCGAAGCAAAAGCCTCCACGCTCACGTAAATTTGCAGCACTAGGCCTCCTAGTTGCAGCAACACCAGCAGGAAAGCCTTGGATGTCAGCCGGTGCGCAGGCCGCACGCACGCCTGCCGCAGAATCCTAGGGGCCACACAACTGAGGCCAAAGATTAGGATCGCGGCCCATACTTTCAACCCAAATCGGCACTGGCACGGCGCGAGGAGCCAGCCGGCCAGAGCAGGTCGCAAGACTTTCCCAAACACGACGCCTCATAACTTCTTCGTAAACCTATAGAACCTGTTGAAACCCTAAACCCTATAACCCGCACTCCGGGACGATGCAGAACCCGACGCCTAACCCTGGTTTTGGGTTTAGGGTTTGGGGGTTTAGGGTTTAGAACTTAGGTTTTGTATTTTTTGCCACCCGCCTAGCTGACTTTGCGGCCACGGGTTCAGCCTGCATAGTTTTGGGGTGTAAACATACATAACCCTGAAACCTTAAGCCCGAGGGGCTAAAGCCTAAATTCTGGCAGCCGTAAATTTGCAATAAGTCTGCAAGCAGTTAAACTGTAAACCTGCAACTCACCGTGTTTTTGTCAATCCCATAAGACTTAAACCCTTGTAAATCCTCTGACAGCCGAAGAATACCATAGAATAACCTCTACAACGGACACGGTTAGAGACAAATCCCGGCGCAGTAAACGAAACACTTCCTAAGCAAGGCTGCCCGGGATGAACCGCATGGCTTCGGGGTGGAGAGTGCCAAACGCCCCGCCGGCCAGGGTCCGTTGGACCTTCCTCCAGTTGGGCTGCTCCAGACGAAGAAGTTCTGGGCAAGCCCTCCACGCCCTCCTTGAGCGCAAGCGGACATGGACATACCAAAAACGAGCAAGTTCGAAAGTACTCGGGTTTGGACACACTTTGGATATGGCACCTCGTCATGTTGCCATGTTCTTCGACCAAGGTGCAAGTTCGAGAGGCGCCAAAACCGCAGCAGCACCAAAAACTGCAGTTTGTGGCTGCGGACTCTTTTCAAAGCCTTTACGCAGGCGCCCACCAATGGGATGAGGTGGATACGCCGCTTTGAGGGAGTGCAGCCGGCCCGCCACGCTGTAAAGGCCTGCAACTGCTTCTTCACAAATCGCGGGGCCTGCTGGAGTTCAGTTGCTGTATTTTCGTTCACAAGCCGTCGCCAAATGATGCCAATTATGTTGTTTGCTTGGACATCTAAAGCTTTGCGCTTGCTGCCTGTTCAAAGCGGTACATGGAATGTCGACTGAAGAATGTGAAAGTGTTCCACGACTTGTTAAGCACCCGGCTAGTGCATTCTCAGATCGTTTGAGCGATCCTGCTGTATGCAATGTTGATGAGACAGTGGCTACCTTGCCTTCGCTTGTTGCGTGGCTGCTGGCATCTGCAGACTCAGCACGTCGGCTGGCCCCCTTTAGAAACAGAGACACATACGAAAGGGTGAACATACTCTTGGGCGGCAATAGACAAGCTCTGGGTTCGGGGGTTGAAATACGCCAGGAAAAGAAGGCTGTGTCATGTGACCCAAAGGAAGTATATCCGATCCAAATGGTGGACACAAGTTTCTTTCCGGTCACATCAGAGGAGAACTGTTTCGTACCCCGTGCAATTCGAAATCAGCAGAAACATGCGTTTTGATCCGATGAAACGAAACATGCGTATTTTGCAACATGCCCAAGAACAATCACGGAAACATCCTTTTGCACCAGATGAAACGACAGTCGTACCATAGGTAATTGTAATGCATGACTGTGACGTACTACCCTAAACCAACATACACACATACACGCCATGCATGCATGCATCCTCATGCAACGATGTATGCGTGCACGCATGTATCTAGTCAGTTGCCTAAGCATGTATGTAGGTATTCGGGGTGCGCAAAGTCTTGGACGTTGAAAGCGTGCTACAAAAGGGTATTGGTTTCGACTCACTCACTCGCACAAACGGTTTGCATGGGGTGCGAGGTATTGGTTTAGGGCGACTGACCGTTTGGCTTCTGCTAGTTGTTTTGTGGTTTCATAAACACACTTGCGCACCCAGGGACAAATCTGAAACTAGTTAGATCGTACGGTAGGATTACATGGCTCAGTTGGTTGGTTATTCTTGTAGACATAGGTGCCGCTGAGACGTACGGTAAGCCTTGGGTTACAGCGTAAATTATTGCTTAAAAACTCAATTGGGCGGCTGTGCCTGCGCCGCTCGGGGTCTTCGGCCTAGGGTTACGGCTTTATGGCTTAGGATGTCACAGAGCATCGACGTCAATCTCTGGCCCCCAATCCAAGCATGCAATTCACGGCAGCGCGTGGCTTGGCCCTTTCGCAGTGTTGCCCCGCAGATCTCGGACGGGGAAACCATGGGAGCCAAGTCCTCCTTGTTTTTAGCTTCAAAAATGCCGGAGTCAGAAGCCCGAGACATCCGTAGGTCAGCTCGTGGCAGGGTGGTCCCCAGCATAGCTGAAGTCAATCAAGCTGTTTGGCCGTCGTACTGGGCTTCTGACAGTGTAAAGTAAACCGTCGCCCTAGGCCGAAGACCCTTAGCGGCGCAGGCACAGCCCAAATCGATAAAACTGAATTTTCAAGCAATATTCGCTGTAGCCCAAGGCCAAAGACCCTTCGCTGCCGCCTCAGTCGTTCTACGAGCTCCAGTCCCTACTGACCGACTATTCATAAGGCACACCATCCCTCTAGCAGCCTCAGTCCCCAACATAAGCCTCAACACGCCTACCGTACGACTTGCGGCCTGCACCCACAAGCCCCAAAAAGTCAAGCGCTCATCAGCGACCAACCCTAAACCCGAATCCCCGAACTCCGAAGCCCTCCTGGGCCTCGCCCCTGAGAAGTCCACATCTAGGGGTTTAGGGCTTTAGGAACCCCAAACACTCTAAACCCCACAAGCTAAGCTAAAACCGAAAAAAAATTAGGGAATATCTACACCGCCGAAGCCGCTGCAAGCACAAAGCCGAGATGCTGCGGATCCCGAGCTGGTGCGGATTCGGGCTTAGGCTTTAAAGCCATTTTTGGGATTGTCACTGGACTGGGCTATCTTCTTGTTAGGCCTATGGCTTGAAGGCGCTAGCCCGAAACCCTAAACCCTTTGCACCCTATTGGGCCAACAGACCCACTATCCTTGTTCAAGCTTTGGATGGCTGTCTCTGGGTTTAGGGTTTGTGATGAAAAGGAAGTGATGAGCATGTGAAGAGTGTTCAACCCGCGATGATCATGTCTCAGGGAAGGCTACGTGAAAAACATTGCCAAGCAACAGTCATATGCATGTAAGGCAGTGCGAAATGCATAGCCCAAGAGAACACACTAAGTCGCTTTTGACCGAATAATGAGATTATACATATATATATATATACATATAGATATACATATATATGTATATATATATATATATTGTATGTATGTATGTATGTATGCATGTATGTATGTATGTATGTATGTATGTATGTATGTATGTATGTATGTATGTATTTATATATAGATCTGTCTTTTTATTAAACTAATACTTATAATATCGAGTAGCTATTTTTATTATCTCCCACCTCAGCCCTCTGAGACCCAAACCTCCTGAATCAGCTTCCTGGGCCATTGCCAAGCACTTTCTCTCCTCTGATCCGATTCGAGAAGCACCGAATTCACAAAGGCAGCGACTGTCGGAGAAAGGCTCGGCGCTGCTGCGCAACCTGGGCTTCTCTCTCCGCGCATGCGGGCACGAGCAGCTCGAGAGGACCACTCTGGGCATCCGGACGAAAGGCAGGACGTAAAATTGGTGCAGGAACCTGCATCAGCTGCGAAAGGCATGGATTTGTGGGAGGCCACTCCTGACTCTCTCTTACGTAGAACCACAATACTGGAACGAGTAAGTTTAAGTTACAAGCCAGTCATAACACTTGCATTCCTGTCGACATGCCTACTGGGATGTTGTTCAGTTTGTCTGAAACCGTCCAGAGAAGGTCGGTAGACAAAGCCGCCTTGTTGGCTGGCGTTCGCCTTCAGGCGCCGATTATAAGCGATAGGAGTAGGAATTTGCTAACTGCCGTTCTCGCCAGCTTGGTGTGCAGAAGAAGCCCGAAGAAGTGCACCAACGCTGTACACCAAAGCCGAGGCCAGGTTCAGCCCGTGAGGGACTCTGCACGTCTTTATAATTAGAATAGGGTTTTGGGGCCCATCATACTATAATTATAATAAGGAAACCTCCAAAAATAGCACCACTTGGGGAGCTGGGGAACACTTGGGTTCTTCGGAGGAGTCTTTGTGCCGACGGCGGTACTGTAGGGTTGAGGTATCCACGGCTGAGATCCGAAGGCACCATGTTCGCAGTGCTGCTGATTCTCATAGGGTGCATGTATCATCACATCCAGAACCTTATCAAGGCCATTAACACTGATCCTCAAGAACTCATGACCTGAGAACTACATCATCTCTAAGAGCACGGATGATTGCATATTCTTCATAATATAATATATGAAATTTCAATAATATGAAATAATAATAATATCGGAAAATTCGAGAAATATTTGCAATGATGAAGAGCCGCCCTTCTCTCAGGCGATGTGCCTCCGCGATCCTCCCAGGCTCAGCTGCGCGCAATCCGCCACAACCAGCACCTCGCAATCGCAAGCTGCAGGGAGGGTCGGAACAGCTGCCATGGGCCCCCCCCCCCCACCTTTCCCCCCAAAGCTAAGGAACAGTTTTAAGGAATCCTAAACCCTAAACCCCTAAACCCTAAACCCTAAACCCCAAACCTAAACCCCTAAACCCCTAAACAGCTAAGGCTGAGGCATATCGCTTCGGGCGGGCACCTGTCGGCTCGAAGAAAGGAACGACGAACCCTTGGAGCCCCTGCGCCACCGAGGCCCAGGCGCAGGGCAGCGGCCTGGACGAGACGATCCTGCAATGACAAGACAAGATAACAATAATAAGAATAATAGTAATAATATAGATGTATATATAAGAATAATAGTAATAATATAGATGTGTATATATATATATACAGAAAGGGCTCAGAAAGGGCTCAGCTCTATTTATGTCGGTGGAGAGGTCTAACTGTTGCCAGGCTGACATCAGCCGGGAGCCAGGGACTGTTGGACGCCAGGAGGGTCTCCAACCTCGTCAGGGAGACGATGGGAATGTGACGGCTGCACTAAGCTTGGCTTCTGCAGGATTCGCAGTGCTTGGGCCGACTTTGCCTAGCACCCGAGATCACAAAACCAGCAGATCGACAAATTCCTCGCAACTGGGCAGACCTTGATACGATAGCTCCGCTGTCCGCCTTCGCTGGATGAAGACCTCCTCACCCGGTCTGCAGTGGCTCGGGACCTGCACTTCTCTCCCGACTGGCCATGATCTACTTTGAAGATGCAAAGAGGGCCACCTCGGCGCTCAGTTTCTGCGCCTTCCCGAAGAGAGAATGCTGGACCACACGAGATGCACACTCGGAAAAAGGGACCACACAATCCATACTACATGGGTAGCGCTCTAAATTAGGGTCCCCTTTTGGGGGTCCTTGTTTACAAGGGTGCCGTACTACATCAGGAACCTAGAAAGGGACCCTACTTTTTAGAGAACCCACATGAATCACTCCCAGGGCTCCCTAGGACCTAGGAGCTTCCAGGTGCTCCAGGCCACCCGACCGAGGCTCTCGCGAAGTCTCGGGCATCCACCACATGAAAAACGCCTGCCCAAGAGCCCATCTTGCGGGTTTAGGGTTTAGGGTTTAGGGTTTAGGGTTTAGGGTTTGGGGAAAGCTGACATGCTCCTTCGCCTGGAACCCTGTCCCAAGCTGATAGGAAGGGTGTCTCTAAGCTGCGGCTCCCCCTACTTCCTTCAGTTCTCCGCTCCTCCCAGAAGAGCTGTGCTCGGCCCGGAGAGATATTTGCAGACCTGAGGAGCACAAGATTAAGGCAAGCGGAAGAAGTGGAGGGGCTGCTGCCAACAATTTTCAAAACACAGCCCTTCCGAGGGCCATCAATGGCCCTCCTTCCAGCAGAAGTTCTGAGAAGTCCACGCCCTCGCGCCAGGCAGCGGCTTCCGACTTCACTTCTTCCTCGGCCTCCCGAAAAAAATTTTCGATGTAATAACAGTAATAATAGCAATAATAGTAATATTAGTAATAATACTAATTATAATAGCAATAATAGTATAATAGTGATCTCTGTATCCACATCTTGGATGAATTTGTCTAGCCGAGAACCCAGAACTCGTACGGATTCCTTCTCACCCGAAGTTCAGCGCAGGGCGAGGCCGTCCGTCATGAAACACGGGAACCCGGCACCAACTGGCCCAAAGATGGCATCGGTAGGGGGTGACGGAGGGTTTAGCCGTTTAGCCAAGGTCGCTCCTGCAAAGCGAGCAGTGATTTCCAAGCGGTTCCAAATCACTTTCGGAAAACACATGACAGGATACCTCTGAAGCCCAACACCGAGCCCAAAGGTCAAGAAGGAGCATCGAACTTCACAGTATTGCCGAGAAAGTCGCAGCATTTCAAGTTTGCCACACCTCTTTCACAAAAAGCCCCCCACACCCGAGTCTTGCTTGTGCCGTGTGACCCTGCTGTTGGCGAGGGAGCCTTGGCTGTTGCTGATTGCAGCGATGCTGGTTGCTGGCTGTGTCGCCTGACAGCGGTTTGCGGACAGCCGTCAATGATGACATATCAGGACACTCAAGGATGATGCCATGCCCCAGGGACAGACTGCCTCCTCCACCTTCCTGCAAATAGCATTCATTAGTCCCGAAAAACACCAAAAACCCCCCGGCCTCCAAGGTCGAGCCCCAGACCCCACCCCGAGCCGCATTCTGCGAGACCGCCCCACTGGCATTCGCAAGCTCCTTGGCTCAGATCTACACCACAAAAGCCCTTAAAAGATACACCGGGGCCTGAGGCGCCGGCTTTCTCGACCGTTGGCACCTAAGCTCCGCACTAATTGCAGACGGTGCTTGCCCCATCACGTCTTCTGTTTGGCACTCTTGCCAGGTGAATGGAATAATCCTTTTTTTCCTTCAAACGAAGAGTCCTTTCAGCAATCGCGCCACCACATCAGGAGTGGCCTTGCCGGAAAAGCAGGTATTATATAATATTCTAGACTATATATTCTACTATACTACGCTACATGACATTATATATATATATATATATGTATATGTATGTATATGTATATGTATATGTTTATGTATATCTTTTTTAAGATTAAGTTATACTAGTTGCTAGGTTATATGGCATGATCCAAGATTAGACTCTGCCATATATGGGGGTTTCCGGAAATAGGGGACCCCAATATAGTACCCTGAATAGTAGGATCCTTGTTATAAGGACCCCAGAATTACGGTACCCCTTATTCTCGGAAACTCCCATATGGTTACGCTCTCGGAGTGGTGTTGTGGGGTTTTGGTTTCCCGCCTCGAGGCCGATCATCCCTGGCTGCGCCGCCAGGGCAAGCGCTGCAGCCTGCAAGGCCTCTTCAGGATGTTTGTAGCAGATAATCGTATGCTATGGTCATATTATAGTAACTATTATCGTATGTTAAAGTCATATTATAGTAACTAGTATCGTAGATTATAGTCATATTAGAATGACTATGCTCGTATATTTTAGTCATATTGTAGTAACTAATATCGTAGATTATAGTCATATTATAATAACTATTCTCGTATATTTTAGTCATATTATAGTAACTAGTATCGTAGATTATAGTCATATTATAATAACTATTAACGTATATTATAGTCATATTATAGTAACTACTATCCTATACTATAGTCATATTATAGTAGATATTCTCGTATATTATAGCATATTATAGTAACTATTATCGTATATTATAGTCATATTATAGTAGTATAGTATATTGTAGGAACTACTATCGTATATTATAGTCTGGAGATGTCTGCACGTTTTGGGCCTGCAGGCGGGCAACATCGCCAATGCGGTCCAAGGAGTTCTCCAGGTCTGCAGGGCAGGCAGAGGCAGAGGCGGCTAGAGAACACCTACTTAGTAGACTTTACTATACGAATATTGGTTACTATCATATACTAGACTAGTTACTATAATATGACTATAAACAGTTACTATGATATACTTTAGTAGTTACTACCATATAATATGACTATAACATAGTTTTTCAAGCTCTTGCCTTGGAGCTGCCGCGAGGCCTCAGCGACCTCCGAGCGCCAGGCTGCGACGTCACTGGACTCTTCGGGCGCTTCCGGCAGCACCTCAAATCCACAGCGCAAGGGTGGGCTCAAATCGCGCCGCTCCCTCGAAGAGTCATCAGCATCTGCTCTCAGAGGTCCGGGCGGGTCGGAGGGCAGCATCGAAGCCCACGGGAGTCCAGGTGAACGTCACGCCGTCCGTGCGGACGCGAACTCCGAGTGCAGAGGCACCGTCCGGAGCCTCGTAAGGCCCAATGCCTTCACGGGGACACGGACTCAGCGAAGGGAAGCAAAGATGAGGGACAGCACGACATGAACCAAGCCTGCCAGCGCCTGCACCTAAGGCACACGGTCAAAACAAGAGTCGAAACCTTTGCCCTACCTGCTACAAGTAGTGCTTTTGCCCTGTAACCCTACTTCAGTCTTCCGGCCAGGATGCCCAGTGCGTGGCACCGCAGTGCGCAGGCCGAAAGCGGCTCGGAGCACTGGTCAGGTCACAAGCTCCTCGCACCAGCTGTTTAGGGTTTAGGGTTTAGGGTTTGGAGGTTTAGGGTTTAGGGTTTAGGGTTAAGGGTTTGGGGTTTAGGCTTTAGGGGTTTAGGGTTTAGGGTCACGAGGCCTTCAGAAAAAAGGCCAACCCCTGAGCTTTCTGCGGGGCGTGTTGTCCTTCGTCGCCAATTCCCAGATCCTGGGCACATCCAGAAAACCCTCACCACTCACATCCAGCACTTCAGTCCGCGCAATACATAATGCTGGACTCGATATATGGGGGTTTCCCAAAATAGGGGACCCTAATATAGTACCCTAAATAATAGGATCCTTATTATAAGGACCCCAAAATAAGGTACCCCTTATTCTCGGAAACTATATCTGGTTCGGCCAGGCAGCCGCTTCAAACCACCAGGCCACGGCGTTGATCCGCCGGGCCCCTGATAGCGGAAACTGGAGCTCACGTTCCTCACGGGGCATCCAGGGACTAAAAGGAAGCCTAAAATCTCGAAGCAACACCCTATAAGCCCTAAACCCTAAACTCACCCCCATATCCTGAACCCTAGAAGCCCGAAACCCTCAATCCTAAGCCCCCTAACCCTAAACCCTGAACCGTACAAACCCTTAACCCTATAATCCCTAAACCCTAAGTTACACCCTAGAAGCCCTACGATTGATTATTACCGTTAATACTACTATTACCATTATTAAGATTATTACTCTGACTACAATTATTGCAATTCTTACAATTACTATTATTATTATTATTACTACTACTACTACTACTACTACTACTACTACTACTATTCTTACTATTCTTACTATTTGTACTTTAAGAGCCCGGAAACACGATCCGGTCCTGGAGCGCCTCGATGAGATCTGCCTGGGAGCCCTGGAAGTTCCTTCCATAGACGGGGTTGCTTCAAGCTTGTTTAGGGCTTTTGGTTTGGGGTTTAGGGTTTAGGGTTTGGGGTTTGGGGTTTAGGGTCTAGGGTTTAGAGTTTGGGGGTTCGGGATAGTTTGCAGATAAGGGTTTGGCATTGTTTAGGTTTTTTAGGATGACTAAGGATGATTTAGGGTTTACAAGTTTACAGCTTAGGGTTTGGGGTTTAGGATGGTCAGGATGGTGTTGGGCTTGGGGTCCTGAACCTAAGCTTTAGACTTGGCAAACTCGATACACAACACTGTGACGGATTGTCTTCTGAGGAAGCGCGAGGTTGCGAGGGTCTTTAAACTTGTAGAGTGTCTCCTCTGTATACTACATATATATATATATGCACTGCATTTAGTATGTGGTGTATATGCGTATATATGTACCTATAGATAGTTAGTTAGTTAGATAGATAGATAGATACATAGATACGTAGATAGATAGATACATAAACACATACATAGACAGGTAGGTAGGTAGATAGATACATACACAGATAGATAGGTAGATACATACACAGATAGATAGAAAGATAGATAGATAGATAGATAGATAGATAGATAGATACTGTCCTTGTTGAGTTACTGGGCTTTGGAAACATGCTGGCGGGCCGGGCTGACAGAGACATTATCTCTCCGATATTCTCGTGGTCTGAGGCAATCGTCCTCAGGCTGCTCATCCATGTCCTCTGAAATGTTAGGTGGTGTAAATGCTTGCAAGATAGTTACTCACGTCCTTCCCCATCCGCTTTGGCGGTGGTGGTTGCGACAGTATGTAAGCCGAAACATGCGCACTGGAATTGCTTGACACGGCAGAACGACACTGGGGTTTCTGGCTGTGACAGCCAAGTTGCAGCCAGATCACCTCCACCACCTCCGAAGCGGGCTCCCAGTCGCAGCCAGCATCCAGGTCGATGCCAAGCCACTCGCTTCGCTCGGCGCGAGCTGGCAGCCAGAAGGGGTCAAAGGCCGAGAGATCCACTTCCGCCGCGATGCCGCCGCCGGGAAGACGAGGCGTGACTTGAGGGAGACGGGCCTCCACAAGGGAGGCCCGGACCCGGAGGCCGCGGGGCACCAAATAGCCACCGGGGCGAAGCAGCCTCGCAGGCTTTCTACGGCGTGCGGCCACACCCACTACTCCTCTCTGTTGCCGAGGCCTGCTTTTGGCGTGGCGAAGGAAGGGGATGATCTTCTCGCCAAGGCCACCAGCATCTAAGAGCTCTGCCACGACCACGTCAAAGCGGTCCTGCCGCGTTAAGGATGTCTGGGCCACGCTGCAACTCTGGTCTCTCTGGTGGCCGGTGGTTCATGCCGGTGCACTTCGTCCGGCTTGCAACCTCGCCTGCCTGAAACCCCTCGGTCTATCTCAGGTCCTCCTCCGCAACAGAGACCGTGCGAATGTCCCCACACAACACGCTGACCTGCAAATGCGGCACACAAGGGATCACGCTGGCACAGGACAGCGGCTTTGCAGCATGTGGGATGAAGCTGCTTGCTCTTGAACCCCAGACTTGGTGTATATATGGATATACATAAACACATATACATAGACATATACATACACATATACATATACATACTCATATTCATAGACATAGACATAGACATAGACATAGACATAGACATAGACATAGACATAGACATAGACATAGACATAGACATAGACATAGATATCGATATATATATATATATATATATATATAAGGTTCTCCCTATGTTACAATCACTGTTTGCGAGATTTGCGACGATACACAGCCCGAGGAATGCACGACCTCGAGAAAAGAAGGCACAGTAGGCATGTGAGCGAACTGCCTGCGGGTGCATTGCCCCTCTCATTGGTGCCTTGTCCTCCTGGGCCAAGACCCGCCGCGCACATCGCGCCAGGTGGGGCGAGTGGTCCACACCCAGCACTTCCGTGGCACCTGCATTCCACAGCGTATGTCTTTGGAGCGAGCATGTCGCTTGCAGCGCTGTGAGTGGAGCAACATGTGCACTGAGCCTGCTCGCAGCGCGAGCATCGACAGCACCCCAGCGCCGCAGCCAAGGTCGATGACCTCAAAGTAAGTCACCGCATCAGGCAGAACTTGGGGGCACCGAACCTCAACTATCAGCCGTGTGACGCGGCAGGCCCCACTTGGCTGGCGGGCCGCGGCGACGACTTTCCGGATCGCGGCCTCAAAGGCTGTGTTGCGAGGCACGTCGTTCATCATCTCGGCATACCAGTCCTCGGCTGGTGCTGAAATAGTTCCGGGTGTGACCCAACATTTCCTTGTTACAGGTGAGATTCGAGTAGGAAGACTCGCGGTAGCGGCGGCGAAGAGTAAAGTTTGAGGTCGGGCACCTGCACAGCCAAACTTACAATGCCTACACCAAACCAGAACTCTGGAGTGCCTCGAACCACAAGCGCTGAAGATTGCAGCAGGTAGTAACTGCAACCTCACTGCCAGACGGAAGCTTCTCTAGCCTGCCAGCACCAGGGAAGCATGTCTGGACGACTTGCTGCTCAAAGCATCACTTCTTTACTCTCTCCTATCGCAAATGCATACTGAATGAGCTAATCCGTACCTGGCCGGGAGCTGTTGCACGCTTTGTCCCGTCCAGCCTCTCCACTGTGCAAAGGTCTGAGGCGCACTGCAAACACTCGAGTGCTGACTGATAGTTCTTCAGTCATTGTACCAGTGTAGCCGTCACACGTCGATAGACAGCCGGCTATCACAGTGCTATCTCACTGGTTCTCATTGGAGTCTCACAAAGTGCGATGCGTGACAGCGTCTCGTAGCTATCTGGCCAGATTGTCTACCAGCCTTCTCCAAGCTCGCCGAAGCTCACATGAAATCTGAGCAGGAGGGAGTCCGCCTCATGCTATCTGGATTCGGCAGGTCAAGTTCTAGCAGAGTTCAATGCCTATAGACAGAACTGGACGCTGATGGTCGCCTGCGCCTCCTTCAGCAGCCGCAATCTGATGCTGCCTCTGTCTCAAACAGGAAGCGCAAACTGACGGCTCACTGCTTTGCCGAGTCTCTCTTTGTTGCGCTCGTGGTAGCCTCGCTTTGGAAGGTCCACGCTGGACTGAATTCCGACAGCTGCACCGGCCGGAGTGCTGCAGCACCTCCGCGCTTGCAATAGTCGCGCTGACCACTTCGAAAAGACCAGGACGTGCTTTCCTTGCCCCAGGACCCGGCTTTGCTGAAGAGCCAGCGGCACTGGTGCGAGCCCTCCATGCGATTCTGCGAAAGACTCCTTAGCCCGAATGCGGCAACAGTTGCAGAGCTGGGCGCCTGCGGCTTGCCCTCATGCAACTACATCCTGAAGCCGGTGGCGGCGCTTGATTGAAAAAACACACTCACTGAATCAAAGTTCCTTTGGTGCTTTGCCAGAATCCAAGATCGCTCCTTCGGCAATGCCGGCAGCAGTCGCAAGCCGTGATGCTGCTAGGGCCACTTCCAGGTGGAGGCTCGAAGGCAAAACCTGAACATGCACCACAAGGGAGAAAGCGCTGCTGCCTGCCGCATGTGTACATTCGGCGGAACGTGCACAACGCACATTCACAACGTGAGCTGCTAGCCTTGAACACAAAGCGGCATTCAAACATGCATCCACCGGCCTCTTGATTAGCGCAGAACTGCAGATGTGTGCCCAAGATCAACTCTGGGCCTTTCAGGGTTCCTTGTAGAAACCCTCAACTCTCCGTGCCATGATATTCGTCCTGATCTTCTTCATGCACTGCGGCATGGGATATGTTTGGTCCATTCGCGCTGCTCTGTTGATCGATGGCTTGATGCCTTCTTGTCAGCGTCTTGACGCTTCTAAACCGCTCTCCACACCCAGAAAAGAACGCTCCAGAAATACCTCGGTATCCATTCTAGGCGACTCGGTGTTGACACCGAGCGATGCGAGAGTGTGGGCCGAGCTCTGGCCTCGCATGGGGCATTCGTGATGCAGGGATGTGACTCCACCGGCTGCCCTTCCTGGGGCAGCTGCCCTTCTGCAAACTAGCAAGTCTTACTAGCTGAGCCTCAGCACCATGGTGTGCGATTCGAACCAGACGCCTGGAAACACCGCTGTAGTGCCAAGCAACTTGCGCTTCAGCAAGCTTTGGCTGAAGCTGCTGCAGCACCTGTAACTTGCGAGAATTGCGACAAGATATTCAAATTGTTAATTTGCTGGTCCCCAACGTACTCTTTTCAAAGCCTTGGCACGGCAAGCACGCCGCAGCCTAGAAGGCCATCAGGTTCCAGTCCTGCACTGCTCCGCTAGAGAGAGCAATATAGGGGAGCTCAGGAGCAGCAGGCTTTCCGAAACTTTCCTTCAACTGCGCAGATGTCAAAGGAACTCGACGCTGCAACGTCAGGTATCACAGTGACCAACTCTGTCACTTTGTTAGCACCTGGGCAAAGGGTAGGCACACGGAGACCTCTGGAGGGCGCCATGCAAAAAGGCTTAGAGGGATCCGCTGGGCTCCTCACGGAAGACGTTGCAAAGTGCCGACCTGGCCGTCGGGTTCGGCTCGACCACTTGGACCGAAGCACCACAGCGAGCAGCAGCCACGGCCGAGACCTCAGAGGGGTCAGAGCACCCGGCGTGGCATCGCAAGGACCCGGCAGGGACTCTGTGGACTCTGTGCCAGGGCTTTGGCCCCGAGGCCACCAAGCACCAGCACCTGGGCTTTGCCTGCAGGGCTGGCCACTGACACATTGCTGCCTATCCAAACGAAAAAACACTCTATATTATGTGTATATATAATGCAATATCAGTATCTATATATATATATACATATACATACATACACACATTTATAGAATATATACATACATATATATATATATATGTTAATTGATTCATGTATTTATTTAGTTATGTATGTATTTATTGAACGGTATCTATTCATGTATGTATCTATCAATCTATCTATCTACCTATCTATCTGATCTGATCCATCTCAGTAGCATATAAATACCATAATGCCCCCTCTATCCCCCTACCTTTGTCATGTCGGCCACGAGCGAGGAGGGCGAGCAACGCGGAGGCCAGGCGGCCGGGATATTCCCAGCGCTGCTCCTAAGAGCACGAATCTCGATAAAAGAGCCCGCGCAAAGAGAGAGAGAGAGAGCGATTAAAGACCAAAGCCTGCTGAAATTGCAAGCCTAACCTAGAAAGGGGAGCAGGGGCTTCTTCTTTCTTCGTCAAGTCTTAGGGCTCCGGCAGCCAGCCGGGCCCGATGGCCAAGTGCGGCCCCAGCCCCGAGCCGCCGGGCGGCAGCCAACAGCTCCTCTGAGCCCCGAAAACCCCGGCGGGCTTAGAGTTTGGGGCTTAGGGTTTGGGGTTTGGGGCTTAGGGTTTGAAGTTTCGGGTTTGGGGTTTAGGGTTAAGGGGGCGTTAGGGCTTAGGTTTTAGGGTTTAGGCCCTTCGGGTGCCGTTTGCACGGGTTTTTGCCCTTAGGGTTTGTTTACATTCTGGTTTTTGACGGGAAGACTAGCCGAGAGTTTCCATGATTCCGAGAACTTTGCAGGAGGAAGCTGCCCTTGGCTCATTCTGCTCTGGACCTTCATAATTAGAGTAGGGTTTTGGGGGATATTATACTATACTTGTAATAATGAAGCCCAAAACCCTATTCTAATTATTAAGAAGTGATACACCTTCAACGAAGCCAGGCGCTGCCTGAATCTCATCAGGGCGACCATTGCATTCGTCTCGGTGCCAGCAATGCCAGCAAAGGTCTCTGTCATCCATATCCTTGGCAGTTGAGCCATGGACGCAGCTTCGAAAGCTTCTCCCGAAAACAATCTGCTGAGCTTCTGGATGGCAATCGACAGTGCAGAGGACCTCCCAGAACCGCAGCCAAGACTTGGAGTCAAAAGTGTGGTCTCCCGGCCTCTGTGGCATCAGCACTTCTCTTTCGGCACTTCGCGTCTGGCGGCTCTGGTGCTTTGTTTTGTTCGAACCTAGCACGAACTCGAACTCCAGTAAGCTCTTTTCTTCATGAAGAACGGAAAAAAGTCGCCTGTGCACAGCGTCGGCCACTCTTTGCGGCATCTGCAGCCAGGGTGGGCGCAGAAGATCCTCTCAGTGCCGCAAGAAGCACGTGGGAAACTCACCACCCGAAAAACTCAGTGGCATTCGACATGAAGAAATGCATCCACAGCCGCCCCTCCCGCCCTGTCCACGGCAAGCGCGGTGAGTGGAGAGCTCTCGCCACACGAACGCACCCGAGCAATCTCGTCCATGCTAAAGGACCTGACGGACGAAGCACAGAAGAGCGACCGCATCTTCACACCCGGACCAACTACCCTGTCGGAGTGCGTTTGCCTCAGCTGTGCATCTGCCACACGAAGTCGCTCCCAGGTTTCGTCACGGAGCTCGCGCCAGAGAGCATTGCTGGCCTTGCAGCTCCAACTTGCTCGAATCCATGCCTCCCCGAAAGCTTGAGTACAAAGGACCGTCGTTCGCCTCCAGCTGCTCCAGCGCCGTCGCTACCTCATTGCAGCAAGCAGTTAATTATGATGCTCAGGGCTCAGGGCTCGTGTTTCTGGCCGAGCCTGTAGCGCATCACCACAGCCCTCGGCACAGGCATCTGCCACCCGAAGCCAGGCAGCCGACATCCCAAGCAGGCATTGCAGGCACGCACGTTCTGTTCGAAATCTGGTTCGTGCTCGGGTTGAAGATGAAGTTACGGCAAAGTTGGAATCCTGTCCTCACTAATTCCGCAGCCTCCCAGACATCTCATCGAGTTGGCTTTCACTCGCATAACTAGTTGTTGCTCCGAAGAGGTGTGTGAGTGTGTGTGTATATATATATATGTGTATTGCTGTAAAGCCCTCCAAACGACGCATGACATGACTTATCATTTCGATGCTTCAGCAGAAAGAGCCGGCACTCTGGCTGTTCCCGTCGCACATCTTTTTGTTGACTCTTCCTCGCTGTGTCTAGTCTAAATGATTATTTCTGTTTGCAGTGGCAGATTTGCTCTTGACCCTTCTGGGAATTCTCTTGCTCCCGTCATGGTCCAGCTTTGCAACAGTCAAGGGCGGCGACAGCTGCGGTCAAACACACACACCTTTGCAACAGCAAAGAGCTTGCACAGACGTGTGCAGAAGTTGCCAGTCTTTTCGGGAAGTGGCAGCAAAAGCTGCGAAAACGGCCGCGAGTCGGCTACGAAAATATAGGCTTTCGGCCCTTTAGGCATCCTGGCACGGGCAGAGTAGACTGGCATCGCTCTCTTTGGAGTCGTGAAGTCTCAGGATCACAGCTTCCCAAAGCTTGGGCATATCTCGATTTTCACTCCTGGGCACAGAGAAGGGGGGAAGCTGACTTACGGGACACCTTGCCCCATT